ATAAACAATAATGAGTTTGAATACACCCATGTTTTTCTTCGATAAAATTTCACCACTTTCATACCTCTATTTATATGATTATGTATTGAAATATGCTTATGTATAATACGACCTATATTATTTAAATAACTTATATTCTATTTTTGCCGTATTAATTTTTTTCTGTAAACATACATTTCATTATTATTAAAATAATAATTTTTCATATAATCATCATACGCATACCGTGAACCGGTTTATAGTATTTTATGACGTACGACATAATAAATAATAATTTAAGAACATTATGTTGTTTTTTTTTTTTTTATGGAACGTCATCGAGTTATCCAGTAATCATAATATAACTTACTATGTCGCAAGTACAGCGACTCGTTTGATATTTATACACGCACGAACATCATAGGTAAGTTAGGTAAATAAACATAATACCGTGATTCGTGACCTGAATGGATGAGTAACGATTCGTCGGTTGTGCAAACAATATAAACGTAAGCTTAGATACATATTATGACGATTACTACATGCGATGTCAATTATAACGACGAGAAAAAGTAAATAATAGCGCGTTGTTGTCTCCCGTGTAACGATATGCAGCCATGCAGAGTAATTCTTTTATCAATAAACAGTAATTTTCTTTAAAAAATGTATGCATGTTGTTGAAAACTTCGTTTTTCGTACATTATTTAAGTCATTGCACGATATGGTTAGGTCTATTGAATATTATAAAATTAATAACTACAAATAATCAATTATAAATATTACATTTTAAATGAGTTTAGAAGTGATGCATACCATAATGCAAACCATTAGAATACTACTTCAATCACTATTTTTATAATAATAGCGTTAAATTTTTAACTATTGGTTCAAAAGTCAATTTATATCTCAGGAAAACGGCAATTTTGAAATCTCTCTTTCTAAAAATGTCTCTTTATGCGTTCCATTATTTGGTAATTATTTTTTTATAATTTTATCGCTCTTAAAAATATATTGTGTACATTATTTTTCATTTCAGATTGAGTCAAACAATCAAAAGATATAATGTATGGTTTAAATAATATGAAACGCTCAGAGGTTTCTAACGACATAGCAGTTTCTTAGTAAATTTTAGGAAAATATATTCGAATAATAACAAGCATATTATAAACGTAAGATATTATAATACCTTTTGATAAAATTTCGTTTGTAATTTTTTGACTGAATCGACGAGTTCTTATCGAAATAATATTCGAATGCAAGGAACTTATCATTGCTGATAGCCTAGTGATAGGTATCAAATTTACAGACAACTGTCCCAGAGGCCCATCAAACTTTGATATCATGTTTTTGTTTTGTTTCGTATGTGTGTAATCACTTTTTCAGATAAAAAGAATGGCAGTATTCCAAAAGTTTCATAATATACCAATTCTTCTTCTCTTATACTTATGTGGTAGATAGAAATATTTCTTAAAATTACCAAATAGTTTTTCAGAATTTGTTTCTTAATGCTATAAGTCTTCAAAATCGAAGTAGGAAATTCGTGTTCCATTCCCGGTGGATAATAAGACTTTTTTTTTGTTATATAACAATTTATCACTAGTTTTGATATAGTGTTAGAGAAGTTTTAGAAATATCAACAAATATTTATTCAAGCATTATTTATTATACTAATTTTAATAAGATTAAGAAATAAATAATGTATTTTATAAACAGCAAAAAATTGATGTACAATTTTAGTATTGTTTAATCTTTATATTATATTAAATTTAAAATGCAATAGTAATTTTAATAGCAATTTTTGATTCACTAGAACTGATTCTAAAAATAACATTAATTTGTTGTTGTTTTAGAATAGATCTTTTTTTTTTTTTTTTTGAAATATACTATCATACGATCAAAAATAAGAGAATTAATATAAACATATATATTTACATGAAACACGAGGTGTGAGAAGCCATCTATCAATGACATTCACTTAAAGAATATGATCTAAACAATTAATGTGTTAATTATATATTTTTTCTTAACAAATAGTGACTTTCCTAAGAATAGTGCATTTTAAAAACGTTTGATTTTAAATTGCACACTTAGTTCCGATTAATAAAAATAGTTATAATCAATTATAAGCAATTAGCTACTATCCACTTTTGGACTCATCTAAAAATTGGTATAGGATGTCTAAGTAATCATTGATTTAAGTCAGTTATTGAATGGTGTAGTTTGCAGTTTGGCAGCAGAAATCAGTAACCACGGCTGACCAAAACTCGTTGTATTTTATGGTTCTAATCTTACGCTTAAACCGATCCGGACATTGTGTTAACCCGTCGTTGGTGCGCATTTGCGCCTTTATACAAATATTATTTCGAGTATTATTCGTTGAAATATCATCGAATTAATTTGATTCTATAAATGTCTTCAAATAACATGTCAGCAAATATTTACAAAAATAAATGATACTGATATTTGTATTTCTTTGACGAAATCTAAAGAGCCCCGATTAAGTGAGCGTCGTGTTAGCACTGTATTAACCACGCAATATTTTTATTATCGTCGCCACAATCGATTACGTACACGTTTGCACAAATACGTTTTTTTTTTTTTTTTATTTGATAAATGATGAATACTACATAAAAAGTACTATGTATTTTTTAGTTAAGGATAGAAATATACTTATTTTTATGTAAAATTCGAATTTTTTTATTGACCAAATAATTAATAATGCTATAAAAAGTTAAGTATGTACATGATATTCACAGTGCACCGATTTTGTTCCTAATCTCATTATGTGTACCTACAACGGGTTAACTTTGATTTTAGTTGTATTCAACTAGCATCGTATACATAAATTGATATAAACGCCAGAGTGTCATAAAAAACGACACTGTAAGTCGAACTCCTTGGTTAGTTATCGAGAAAATAGTTTTTATCTATAGACAATACTAATATATTGACAAGTAGGAATGGTGGATTTCAAGGACCAGATTTCCGTTATTTTTGATGGATTATACTCCCAAATTTGTATACATAAATGATGTCACTTAATTTTGCTAAACTTGTATCTTGTCAACCTAATTAGCGTTTATTGTATACGTATATATTTTATGTAGTGCATACTGCATAATATTGTACGTGTGTGTGAATGTTTTATGTCCTGTTTGTTCCGTAATGTTTAACAGATATATGACCATAGTTTTTTTGTTTATGATTTTGATTTGTTTTTTTTTTTTTTAAATTTATACAACAAAACAGAATAGTTTTATTCGGGATAGCAATTTACTAAAACAGCATCAGTTAATTAGAGTTTACTGTAGGTACTAGCTATTTATGTCTTTTGTAGTAATAGTGTATGGCGAGAAAACTTTTGCATGCTACATGTAAATGAGTCGAGCTTGTCAATTAATTTATAGTACGATATTTTTCAGTAATAAGTCAATAAATGTTTTTTATTACGTAACATGATAATAGTATTATAGTAAAAAAATAAAATAATATTACTTATTGTAGCGTATTAGATGTAAGTTTATTCAAATTCGTAAAAAGTTAAGTGGGTGCGCTCTGTAAGATAAACTAAATAAAATGTATAGGTACATATTATTGTGTATTTACCCTCTCAAATAACTTTAAAATTATATTTACGTATTAAGATATTCAAATTTTTATATTAACTGCATATCATATTACCATGGTGTTACAACAATAAATAGTGTGTTTTCTTCAAATACCGCTTTGTAACCAAGCAAAAAAAAAGTTGAAAAATAAATTTAAACCGTGGATTTACTGCAAATATTTGTTTATTTAAAATATAGAGAGTTCTTTTTTTGAGTCAATTGAATATTTCATAATCATTATTATTTATAGTTTTTAATCAAAAAAATGACTCTCCCTTCCCCCTTGCTCGTGGCATGCGTTGCTTTATACTTTAAAGCATGAAATATTTAAGAATATTTGTATCTATTCTTGTAACACGTTTATTATACATTTAAACCACTGTAGATTTTTTTGTTTTTATACAATGGCTTTAACATATATATAAAATTTGATCGGATAGTGTGTTATAAGATTTAAATATATAAAAAATAAAGTTTGTTTTTTGATTCATTTGTGGTTTTCAAAGTTAATTAACTAAAATTAGTCACGACAAGCTTCAATTATTATGATTATTTTTTTACACAATTTTACTCTAATTTAACTGTTTTGACAAAAATAATATTTTACAGTACTTTTATAAAATCACAGTTGGAGATTATTATATGAATAAATCTAAGATATGGTTCATTATATTATATTATAAATATGAGACATACGCACATCAAAAATAATACTAATAATATTTTAAAATTTTCTCACACTAATATTAGTACGATAAAATATATTTTTAACGGAATTCCTAATAATTTCGATTTCTTCAAGCAAACCACAAATTTTTTCATCTATTATAAAATAGTATTAAAGTAAACCTGGCCAATTGCCACGTGTGTGCGTTTTCCCACGTCCCTTATAGTTTCGGGAAAGTCGTGTTTTTGGTACATTTAGCAATTTTTCGTTATGTTTAAATGGAGAATCAATTGAAAAAAAAACATAAATAGATACCTGTATATTTTTGTTGAGCCAAATAAGGGCTAGTATTCCGTAGTATTGAAATCTGCGAAATATTGTCCAGTTCATTTCTCATTAAGTCTTTAAAGTACTTAGTGTACAGTTGTGGTATAAGTCATAAAGTAATACACATGTGTGTTAGCACTAATTTTATCCTCATGATTAATTATGCAGCTAAATAAATTCTGATTTTTGGAGAATAGTATTATCCTTAGTTTATAAAGTTCAATTGTTCAGAGACTGAGATGCATCAACATTTCCAAAAAATTGTCTAAATGTCGTCAAATTTATAATTTGAGGGTACAATACAGACGAACATATTTGATTAATCGCCCTATATAGTTTATAAACAAACGTATTCACTATGTAAAATGATAAGTGCAAAAGGGTTGTATTATACTATATTATATTATGTTTTCTCTTAGATGTTGCCGACAAACAAGTGAGATTAGACATGTTCAAGTTCGTGACAGGCACTATAGAACAGACTGCAGCACTAGTAACGGGTGTACTGTACGAGTTAGCCAACAACCAAAGTATCCAAAATCATCTCAGAGAACACTTGGATAGCGAACTAGACGAACATCAGCAACAGGTCACAATTGACCAGTTGGATCGTTTACCGTACTTGGAAAACGTGTTGAAAGGTAGGCAAGATAATTATATAGTATAGCAATACCAGCTATTGTAAATATTTGATTGTGGTGGGCTGGTATTAATACAAGTATAGAATTACTTAAAAAATATAATATTATCGTTAATTTAAACAAATATAGTTAATTTTACGACAAAATAAATCGATATGTACAATATATAGGTACTACTCGTATAACATATTTTTAACATATAAAGTATTGAAAGTATTGAAACATATCACTTTTAACTTTTAAGAAATATGATAAAGTACTAAATATTTTAGTATATACAGATGGTATATATATAATTCCATCATAAATATATCGATATTCGATAACCATATAAATAATATTGTGTTAAGAAAAGTTATGTATGAATCTGTTTGTATTGTTGTAATATGGTAACTGTGAATAACATTGTTTGAAATTCTAAAGGTCTTACAAGTTTTAAAATAAAATAAATCTTAAAATGCGTGAACGAATTTTTTGTTGCCTTGACATTTGGATTTAATATGTTAAAGCAGTATTCAATTCAAAACTGGAAGATTAAATAATGAAAACATAAATTTACCAAATAAATTCGAATTGCTTGCGTAATTTAATTTGGGCGGAGAACTATTATATGTGAGTGTGATAAAATTATTACTAAGGAGACTAGTGTTAATAATATTACCTATACACGGATAACCTATGTTCAAATGCGACGAAGCTTTACCATTCCGTTTGATAAATACACAACATATAGAATATAGTGTTATTATTAGGTTGTGTTTAACATTTAGTATTGTTTGTTGTACATTTACTCAACCATAATAATAATGTAACCGTTTAAATATTATACTACGGTGCATTATAATCTTTTGTATTTCGAGTGTATATCATTCCGTGTTAACTGCATTGCTTCCTTAATGAAAGAGATACAAATAAATTGTCAAATAAAGTTATAAGTCAACCATTTATAACTTGTGGTCTACGACATCTCTAGAAGTCCACAATGCTCTTGTCGGGGATCCACAATACTGGTCATGCACATACATACAGTAAATATCCGAAATATGAGGAGAAAAATGTTGGTCGGCTACTCGACTCATCAAAACTTTAAACACTATTGTGATTAAATAATAACTAAAATATTCAAATCGTTCTAGTTATATGTTACTTCGAAAAAACGTATGTTGTCGTTCAGAAGAGTAATTGATTAATAAAAATTTAAAATATGTAAAAAAGTAAAAATATTAAATTTTTATCCAATTTTAATAAAAAAACGTGTTCGTTTCGGTTTGGTGAGGTTTCTGTCTTGGCGGAATAAATTTATATTTTAAAAAAAGACCAAATAAATTGTCCGTATTATCGGAGTTTTCGTTTTACTGAGGTTTCGTCTTATCGAGGTTTTACTGAATTGACATTTTTTTACAGTTGATTTTTTTTTAAATTTAATACAAAAAATTTAAAAAAAAATGTAATAAACAGGTTTAAACTTATATGCATTTCTTAAGAGATGAATAAGTTATCCTTTATTTTGTTATTTATACCTACCTACTTTAATATTTTTAAGTTTTTTTTTTTCTGATAACATTTTTTATAAGTAGGAAATTACGTAAATCGTACCTGTTTTTTTAATTTTTATTATTATTTTATTTGAATACTCTTAAGTATTTGTTGTTATCCTGGTCTTTCATAAAATAGTTCTAAATTTTCAAATGCATTTATATAGTGTACAATAGTGAATGATAAAATATCATTGGCACACCTATCACTGTCTGTCAGTAAAAACTTCATAAAAAATATAATAAAGATAGTATTATAGATACTTGTATATTATTATATGACAATATGTAGTCTGATATTTTAGTTTGATATTACATCAAAATATACACATCCATGATTCTGTTCACTCACAGAAATTATTAAAATGCTATAAAAATGCGTATTAAGATTCTTATTATAGGAATATATTATATTTCATGAAAGTTCGATGAAAAATACAGTAAAATAGAAAAATAATGAAATTATAGAAGTCCCTTATTTCATTTTAAACGCTAAACGTAAAGTAAAAGTAAACTGTTAAAAATGGAATGTTTAAATTTTACATTAAGGACTTGACAGTCTTTTGAAGTCTAAGAACATATTTTATTCAAACAAATTTTATTTCTCTGGGATTTTGTAATTTTACGTCTGTACTTGATTATTTTTTATATTAAAATTTATCTCTGTTCTCTTGTCAAAAACATTATATATCTCTTTTGATATCGTATTAAATTAGGTATTATACTTAAATTTATAATTATTCATAATACAATCATTAACTAGTACAAATAAAGATATTTTTATTACAATTAAATGGTTTATTTTCAATCCAGATACTTATTTTATATCCTGTTCCTTTATACTAATCGTACATAATCTGAGCTTAGATATTTACGAATAAATTGTATTATAGTTTCAAGAAATTGCAATGGCTTATAGAGCTATTTTTCATTTAATACATATAAATAAATATAATAAATATTTTACTTTGAATTATAAAATTAATAAAGTAAATAACATAAAATTCGCCCATTTAAACAAATATTTAAAAAAAATAAAAATTTTCATAAAAAAGACATAAGTATAATTGCTAGTCTTAAATTATTTATACAGTGGACGCCGGTTATAAAACTCACTTTGGGACTAGTACAAAGTTTGTCTTATAACCGAATGAATCTTATATGTTAAGTGGGGAAAAAAACAAAATATTTATGAATTTTATTTTATTATCTTACTTTTATATCAATCTACTTAAATACATACATATTACATATTAATTATTAGTGAATAAATGAAAAAATTATAATTAAAAAATTAAAATATTAAAATATTATTATAAAAATGATTACATATTAAAAAAAAAAAATTTAATTATGTATGTACGAGTACATACTCATTATTTATGAAAAAAATTGTAATTCTGGTTTGTTTTAGATTATGTTCTAATATTTTGGAAATATACTGTTCGTATAAATATTGTTTATTACTCACACTGTATTTACAATAATTGTGATCAATGCGAAATATGATAAAATTTGTTGTACATTATATTGCATACATCATAAAGCAAAAATAATTTTAAAGAAATATGAAATTAAAAAAAAAATGTATTTCTAAATGTTAACCAAAAATGTTTATTTTCTACCATTTTGTTTTTTTTTTTTTTTACGAAATTTGAGTCTTATAAACGAAGTGGTAAATCTTGTAACCGAATTTTCCAAAATGTATTTGGATACATTCGAACCGTTCCAGACGGTTTTGAGTCTATTAAATCACTAAATAAGCGACGTCCACTGTATTATAAAATATTATGTAGATTTCAAAAATATATTTTTTTTTATTCGAAACATAAAGTTTCAATCGACAAGAATATATATGTTACACGATATTGCTATTTCCTAACTATTTTTTTCTCCCTTAAGCGATAAATACGTTTTTATTTTTTGAATCAAATCTGTCTCTGTTTTGTCTGGCTCTGTCTCAAATCTTAATTGATGACACTGTATCAAGCTCTGATTAATTTACATACACTTCCTAAATATGTTACTGTAATATTATTAGACATTTAGCTAGTACCTAAGTATTGTAATAAATATACAAGGAAATTCAAAATTTATGTTAAACCCATTTTATTATATTCATAACAGAGAAAAATATATGATGTGTAAGTTGTTTTATTTAAAAATATCTAAATTGGTTTTTGGATTTTATATTTATTTTAACATATTTTAGGGGAGTTTTTGGGGGTCAACTTTAAAAATTCAAATTGGTATGTTTACTTGTTTTGCGATTATAATACAAAGAATTGTTTTAATTAATTTTAGTGATAGAAAAACATAAATTAATACAAGACTTCATGCTTGAGAGCGATTTAAAGTTTTTAGTAATTGCATTTTGAGTATCAGTAGCGTACCGATAGGGTGGCATGAGGGCTTAAACCACGGGCCCGTGACTCTAAAGCACTCATCAAGAATAAATGTTGTAAATCCAAAAACAAATCACCATTAAACTGAAATTTGTAATTACGATTATCTTTAAAAAAAAATATATATATTTATTCTTGTAAAATTAAATTTATTATTATATAATAATTATGGAACGAAAATATACACTGGAAATCACATATCTTAGAAACCTAGAATGTGCATTTTCATTTAGATACTAGATTAGAGCTATTCTAGTGAAAAATAACCGTCGTCGTTATTTGATGTTCTTTTGATTTATTTTGTTTTTGTACTCGACCGTGAATCAGTGAATCGTATTTGTTTATTGTGTCCATGTTGAAAAAAGTAACTAGCTGCTATGAATAGCGTAAAAAAAAAAGAAAGAACAAGAAAAATTATTTAAGTTGCCTATAATTAGTGATTTTTTTTTTTTTTTTTTTGTTAAGTTCCATTTCTCCTGAAAATAAAAATGAAATAACAATTAAAAGTGTTAATACCGAAGGTCAATAATGAGCCAAGCGTTGAACTTAGTTTTACTTTTTACTAGTAGTAAAAAAAAAGTAAAATATTTATTCCAGAAATTTTACAGTGCTTTTCATTTAAAGGTATGAATCAAAATAAATCTTTTGAAATTGTTTTTAAATATATTATTAAAACTTCTTTTAATCCGACAAATATAAAAATAATTTTACATAAAATATGTTTTTAATTATTTATAACCTTAAACAGCGGAATTTTGTAGGTGGTTGCACTGTTTCTCATACTATTTCCTTCCTCAAATTCTTGAAATAAAGGGCCTGTTTAATTATTTTGACATAGGCATTAAAATTTTTAGTTACATCACTAACTTTCTCATGTACAAGTATGCTGGGTGGTGCTACAATAAAGTACCTACTTGACTTTTTGATGGTCATTCAAATTTTTGATAAAAGAAACTAACAACTAATAAACTATAATAAAATTGTAAATAGTAAATGAAAAACAAAATAAGTTATAAGTTTATTTTAATTATGTCATATTTTATATTTAAACGTTTGATAA